CGTCATTGCTGTGCTACATCACAGCACTTTTGTCTTTTGAGTTCTGTTTGTCATTTATGAAATTCACTGGCATATCTTGATTTTTGTAGCAGGCTGATGGAGTTATGGGCTAACTCTGGCAGGAACAGAGATGCTCTGAGCTGTGTCACTTCTGAACATGAAGTGGTGGATTGCTGTGACACTGAGCTGTACTCAGTGGCCTCACTCCCTCATGTCAGGAGCAGCAGCACAGGGCACTGTGGAATGACAGCCATTACTGCTGAACTGGTTTCCTTTTTTCTTTTTATTACAGTCTTTATGCTGGCTCTTATGGCCTAATGTACCAATGTATTAACGAGAAACCTGAGTATTTGATTTTTCCCCATGAAACCAGGAAATTGGGAGTTGTTTTTTTTTATTGAGGCAATGTGATTCATACTTCCCTTGAAGAGCTCCAGTTAAGCATCTTAGGTCTTCTTCTAAATGCAAAGTGTAAATGCAAAAGTAAAGTGTTGCCCCTGGGCTGGAAAAGCATTTGTACTTTAGAAGCCTTAGTCCCCAACATAACAGTAATTGATAAAGATAAGTACCCTCAGGTTTATGGATAAGAAGCTCTTTGGGGTGCACAAAATGAACCTTAAATGTTATAACAGAGCGACCAATTGGATTTCATAGTTTTGTAAGATGGTTTTTACCCTGTCTAGGAGTGAGTGAATTAGAAAAAACAATAGTAAACATTTCTTCTACCATAGAATGTATAGAAAATCATACAATGCATGACATTATTACTTTAGAGGAAGAAGTTAATAGCTTGTCACAAGTTGTTTTACAGAACCAAATGGCATTAGATCTTCTTTTAGAATCACAAGGAGGAGTATGCACTGTCATTAGCACCAGCTGTTGTGTATGCATTGACCAGAGCGATAGTGTGTCTACAGATGTCCAGGAATTTCAGAAACAGACTGAAATTTTATATCAGGTAGCTGAGGATGACACCTCTTCAGGCTCTCAAGAAATCTGGAATATCCTGACCTTCTGGTTACCTAATTTTAAGTGGTGAAAGCAGCTCTTCATAGTTTGAATCACAATAAATGATGTTTGTATTTTAGCTTGCATCATGATTCAGTGTTGTAGTCATTGCAGTGCCTTATGGTATAAAAGAAAATACATACATTGAGAGACTAGTTCCTTTAAGGAATTTAGTCCCAAGAAAAAGGGGGGATTTGATAGAAGAAACAGCAACTTTACTCAAAGTATCCCAGAATGCCCAAATAAGGGCCAGTAGGATCTTAGAGAAGCCCTAGAGAATTCGATGAGGATGTACTCGAACAGTGAAGGTGTAAACTAAGGTCTGTGTACCCAAACAAGATCAAATAAAGAACATGTAATACAGTTTTTGGTGGTGGAACACAGTGATGCTGTACCTGCTGTACCTGCTCAAGAACTGAGGTCAAGATGACAAAGAAGACGTGGAAAGACCAAAGAAGAACTTCCAATGGGGGTGTGACTATGTAAACAAACTAATGAACATGTATTAAGTAAGCAAGATTATCTAATTAATAGTAGGTGTAAACAGTAGGTGTAATAGAAGGCCCTGTCTGTCTGTCAGTTGGCATGTTAGATTACAGGAGCTATCCTCTGAACATCCGGCATGCTGAATAAAGAAGAATGCCCTTTTTAGCATCTACAAATTGGTGCTAAGAAGTTTGTTTCTGCAGCTTTTCCATATCACTAGCAGATAGTGTATGCTGCTGTAATGCAGCTGTTCTGAGTGCAGGGGCGAGCACAGAGGTGACCTGCTTCAGTGCACAGCCCACATCTGCCCTTGGAAAAATTCAAAGTGACAGGAAGCATACTGAGGCCACATGTCAGCAAAGCAGAGTTTGGAGCAGGCTGAACTGTAAGCGCAGGTTTATTTTCTAGCACAGGTTTTAAGGCAGTTATGTCTGGACCATTAAGAATAGAAGTTTCCTTCTCTGAGTTACCATTATGCGTAAGCAGTTGCTTGAGAACTTTGAGAAAACTTGGAAACACCTTCCCCAGAAGCTCGTGTTTAACTCTCACACAAGTGTCAGGACTTAGTGCATTCCCTTCATTTTTGGTGTGATTTACCTGTTATATATGTTAAAGAATCAAGAATTTGTAAGTGATGCCTCTGTTGGGCCTTTGCAGTTGTGATCTATACTGAAGGGACATTTCCTATGGTCTGGTATCTCCGATATCACTCCTGTGAGACCTGGCACGTGGAAAGTACATTGTCTTTAAAGCACTTCATCAGGTCTTAATTCCTTGTGAGTTTTGGAGCACTGAAATGAACTGACTGTTTAAATGTACTTGACTAAACAATAGCTAAATGTGAAAAAGATGGCAGCTTTTTGTTGTGATTCTTAATTGAGAAAACAGAATGTTCCTTTTTATCTAATTAAAGAAGCAGTATAAATCAAACAGGAAAAGCAGAAATTGTTCATCTCAGTCTTTGGTTGACCTGCATCAGGCAGAGATTAATTTCACAGGATCACAGAACAGTTCAGGGTGGATGACACCACTCAAGACCATCCAGTTCAACCTCCTGCTCAAAGAAGGGTCGCTTTAAGCATAATGCAGGTTGCCCAGGGCTGTGTCTATTCAAGTTTTGAACAACATCTCCAAGGATGGAGACCCTACGACACTTATGGGCAGCCTGTTCCAGGATTTGAACATCCGCACTATTTTCTTGTATTCCTGTGGAGTTTCATGTGCTATAATTTGAAAATATGCTATCTATCAGTTTTGCATGTGAAGTTTCCATATTTTTTGAAAGTGATGCTGAAATGTGAAGTGTTGTTACTTTTGATGTTGATGAACCTTTGCTTCCTCTCCATGTTTTTTTTAGCATCTCTCCCTAGCAGTTTATCTGCTAGAATGTCCTTTCTGGCTTAAATTTCTCCCATATATTCTGTGGTTTATGTTCCAAGCTGCATGGATGATAATACCATATTTGATAGCTCTTTGCATCTGTGCAATTTGACCAGCAGGCCCCCCCAGTGGGGGCCTTCTGGGCTAAGGCATGAAAAAGCTGCATATCACTGCACTGCTGTGACTTGGCTTTGGGAATGTCAGAGCTACCAAATGTGTGCCATGTTCTGCCTTGGAGTCACACGTTGACATTAACTGGGGTAACTGTGACACTGTTGGAGCTGCTGGGTGCTGTGACCTCCCTCTCAACTGTATTTGTAGCTGTGAGTTTGGTTGCCTGCAGTCCTACGAAGAGCCTGCCTAGTATTAAATCATAGAATCATTAAGGTCGGAAGAGACCTCTAGGATCATCAAGCCCAACCTTTGACCAAACATCACCTTGTCAGCTAAACCATAGCACTAAGTGCTGAGTATCAATGACTCACCTTGCAATTGGTGTAAAGCCTGTGACGTCTTCCCAAATAATATAGTTACAGTCAGCGTAGTCTCTGGGTGGTTGTTAATACTTAGTTAAAATTAGCCAAAATATTTAATATTCCGAGAAATTTATTTTCCTGCTGTTTGTGGCATGTTTGGCTCTGTCCAGAATGTTCTGATGCATCCTGTGCTATTTTTAGTAATGTTGATTATCCTTACCCCCATTTCTATTGCAAAACAGAATGATATCTTTTTACTGGTACATGCTACTTTCACACATGGGTTCAGTTTCACCAGTGATCGAAAACAGATGGATCAGTCATGAGGACTAGTTTAATCTGAGTGCTGCTGGGCTAATTGGAGTGGACTAGTGGATATGTGTCTTTCTTTTTCTTATACATGTAAATTAAAGTGTAATTTTAAGTTGGACCTTGTCTTCCTGTTTGCTTCCACAGAGAAGGGGCAAAAAGGGCACACGTAGTTCTTGACAGGTCCTGAATTTGGTGGTTTTCTTGGCAGAACTATTTTCTCTGTAGGATGTATTTTGGGGGCTGCTTGGAGTGCATTAGGTAGAGACCTGCCAGGAATGGGGTTAATCCCAGGAGCAGAAGTCAATGGACAGCAGAAGTCTCTCCTCAGAGCTTCCAGCAGTGGCAGGGAGATCAGCCAGGTTCTATGTTGACAGAAGGCTTTTCCCTGTCATTCTGCAGAGTGTGTCCCGTATTAGCCAAGCTCTAAACAGCATTAATAGGTGCCAAACATGTTTTCTGCAGCTCTGTGAGAAAGATGTCGAGTGGCTATTTATCACTCTCACTCACTGGCCCAATCAGACCCACATTACCTGTACAGAAAATTGACTGGGGGAGGATAATTCTTTACAGCTTTTCATGGTTAATCTTTTATCACCAGACTTAGTCTTTATGTCTGTTTATGGTTCTTCCGCTCATGACAGTAGGAACATGTGGGACCCCAGGAAGTAGCAGAACTCTGGAAATATTTTGAGAGGTGCTACTGTAGTGAATGTGAGAACCTTAAATGCAGGGTAATTTATTGAATGATTTATAGGAAGTCTTGGTCTTTAACTGTAATTATAATCTTCACTGAGTCCAGATCGAACTAGTAGTGAACTCCAATCCAAACTATTTTTCAGTGATGGGACAGATCGAGCATGGATTTCGAGAAAATTCATGTGAGCACATCACAGCTAACATAATTTTGAAAGTACGTGATATGAACTTCTTGCTACTGTTTCCGTTAAGGCAATGAATGATTGGGTGAAAGCGCATTTATATGCAGCACCTGGCTGTTTTCATTCTGGTCAGCACTCAGGCTGTGTAAGCTCTAATGCTTGGCCCATCTCTTATATGTAAAGATAGTTTTAATGGGTAAGATAACCTTTACATTGATTAATCTTCTTGTGCTCTTTGTTTTTTGACCTCCCTGATTGTATCACTTGCCTTAATAAAAGGTTTATTTCTCCTGAATTTCTACAATTTCTCTTGAAAACCTTCTAGTTCTAGTGACCTATGATGGACTAAGAATCTGATTAAGAACATTAAGTAAAGAGAAATAAAAAGGTTTTGTTAGGGAAGAATAAAAAGGAAGGCATCTTTGAATAAAGCCTTCTTTAATAGTTTTTAGAACTCCATTCTAATACAAGTGCTCAAGGACATAATTGGCAATATATTTAACAGCAAGTACAGTCTCTTCACAGGTTGGCTTTATCTGAGATTCAGGGAGAAGAAAACCATATCTACCAGTGTCCCGGAGCTCAAAAGTGAAAGAGTATTTGATGCCTTGATCGTAAGCCCAGTCGTCGGAGCCCCCTGCAGCAGGGTCTGTCGGTAAAGAAATGAAACAAAGATTAACTGGGAAAGAGTGGCTATGCACTGAGATGTGAAATCCTTTGGAGTCAAGTCAGGTAACAGAAATGCAGGAAGGACAGATAAAAAGAAATATTCAGTGATTTGATTGATTTATCCTGCTCATGGAAAAGCTTCTGGGATTTTAGACTATTTATGAGCTTCATTCCAGCTGATGTGTGCAAGCAAGTGTAAACAAGCTAAACTCTTCCTCCTTGTCACTGTTGTGAGGAGACCACAGGAGAAATGTCTGATGAACAGGAGAATGGCATGGTTGCATGGGAGTGTTTCGTAAGGTTTGGTATCAGAAGCAAATAGCCTCTCACTGGGTGGCTTTTTGAAGTTCATACAGATGGGAAAGAGCTGCAGATCTGGGATATCAGCTCCATCTTTTTCTTCTGGAGGAATAATACTCTCCCTTTCCAGTAGTTTGGTACAATAGACTATTTAGGAAGAGGAACAAGAATCACTAGAAAACTGCATTTTATAGTCTTAATAACACTTAATATAGATTGCTAGTATATTTAGGCCAGTACTTACAGATTGTTTCAGCTCCTGGACCGTACGTATATTTGGTTTTGTACAAACTGGCCAGCTCTTTGGATGCAGCACTAGCAATGGAATTCTGTAGGAAAAGAAAAATTATAAATGCAGATTTTCAGAAGCTTTCTGAGTGTATCTAAAGCAAACACGTTATTAAATAAACTGAAAAGCCATGGTGAAAAAGTTTTTATTTGAAAACTGTTGTTCACCGCTCAGTGTGACTAGTTGTCAGTAGCTGACAAGGCACAGCTTGTCCTGTTGTTGTGGAAAGAGCTTATCAGTAAAGAAATTGTTCTCTAGGCTTTAATGGAGTGTGGTCCAGGCTGTGTGTTTATTGCTCTAGTGCTGTGCAGCTGCTGTACAGTCCAGTAGAGTTTGTACAGGTAAGGGGACAATAGGTAACAGCATTTTCTAGACTTAGAAGAAACTTCTGCAAGGTTAAAACTAAATAAGGAACCTTATTTAGAGATAAGAGAATCTTAAAGAATAGTCATAACTTGGTACAATAAATTGTGAACATACAATAACCTTTCTTTTCCTTCTGTTCATGCCACTATAAATGCAGAGTAGAGTCGGCTTAGTCAGGGAAGTTGAACAGCGACACAAGTGGAAGCAGATTAAAGTCTTATAAATATTAACAACCAGAAAAGGCAAAGGCATAAATTACCCTGGAACCATATGTAGTCTCATTAATTTCAATTCATTTCCTGTGCTCAGAGGGGCTCATTCAACTCCCACTGATTTCAGTGAGGGTTGGATCAGGCCCATCAATAGTACTATGAAGCTTTGTGTGTTTGCATTAAGAAAATGACAGACTTTTCTTTGGAATGTGTGGCTTTTCCAATTTTTCATTATACAGCATGTTGGTAATAAAACATGAAAACTATTACTAACAGATGATAAATATGAACGATTTTTGAAAGCAGATGTTCAGTATAAGAATAAGCAATGGGTTACCATATCTTTATAGCATACAGCTGAATGGCTTAATATTCCAGGAATTTCCTCAAGCCCTTTCCTTCTCTGTAGGTTATACTCTGGCTTACTTCCCAGTGGAAGATAAATTGTAAAATGTTCTCTGTTCATCCTTATGCTTCAAGTGTTCCTGTGAATTACTCAAAAAGGCATATTTGACAATGTGTTTAGAAAATCTAAATTAACTGAAAGAACTTTCTCGGCTTCTACAAAGTAGCATCAAAATGTGTTTTTGTAGAATTGCAAGTGTTTCCCCATTTCCAAACATTTGGTTTTGAAAATTCTAGAATTATGGGAGTTTGCTGTAGGAATTTGTGGTTATTTAGCACATGAAGTATATTTAAACAAGGCAGACCAAAGTGTGCTTGAAGCTTGTCCTTCCACCTGTAACACTGGCTGTACCTGAATGTGAGGTTTGGTTTCTGGCCTCTCAATTGCACAAACACAAGCAATTGTAGGAAGAATGTTGGTGCTCTGCATTTCACAATCTTGAATTCAGAGGAATTGGAGTAGCTGAGCTCTCTCCAGAGTTGGTTGTTGTTGTTGTTGTTGTTGTTTGGTTGTTTTTTTTAAATCCCTCCACAAGTTGAATTTTCTAAAATCCATAATAATTTTTAACACATGTTCAGGGAACTGTAGAGGTTGGAGACTCCTATCTGCTAGTGATACCATGTTTTCTTCAGCCATCTGTTGTTGGTAATATACACATTTAATCAGCAGCTGAGATTGGGTCAAATCTTCTCTCAAAAGCAAATGAATTTTTAAAGTAAATTGATTCTTCCTCTTTTCAAATATATGGAAAGTGGAAATAAAATTTTGAAAGACAGTCTGATACTACCTACAGACCTGCTGGTAATTACTATTTGTTATCTCTCTAGTAAACCGCATGACAGGGACAACAGAACAGCAGAGCTGCTCTTTGGGGCTGTTGCACCCAGGGCATTCCTTTCACTCAGCAGCCAAATGATGGCCTTAAATCATATCAAAACAGACACCAGAAAAAGTATGTCAGGAAACTTTTTACCTGAGGGATTTTTTCATTATTGGCCAGGAAGTTGTAAAAAGAGAGATTTATAAAAAGAGCAGTTGAGATTTCCAGCTGTTAAGAGCTTAGAATCCTGAAAAACAACCTCTTCAAGCTTTCGAGGTTGGAGATGGAGATGGTATTTTAAGTTACCCTCTCTAAATGAAAAACGTAACTGAGCATTTATGACTTCATCATGAAATGAAGCTTTATCCAAAGTTTTGATATATTCCTTTTTTCCTTTAAGTGAATCTACCATTTGCTTTGCTAATAGATTTACAGTCAAAAACCTAAAGGTAGAAAAATAAATTTCAACTATATAGGAAGAATGCCACCTCTTAATAATAATAATAATAATAAAAATTAACAAACAACAGCAGGAATAATAAATATAAAGTAAATACTTGTGAGTATAAATACAAAATATGAGAAAAATGTGTTGTTTTTTTTTTTTTTTCCAAAATAGCTCAATTACTCAAAGCAATCCATAAAAACGAAATAGCCTGAAGATTTATGCAGGGGTATATAAATAAAGCCCAATGTTTTCCAAAAGGTTGAAAAGTGGTTTGGGTTTTCAAGCCTAAAAATTATTTAGAATACACCTGTAGGGAGAAACACTGTTTTCTTTTTTACCTCTGAGGATACTCTTTGCTGTTCAGTGATTTTCTACATCTCTTGGCACAGTGGGCTTAACTGAATTGTTGTGGTTTGTTTGGGGTTTTATATCATTAAGAATCCCTCTCTTGCAAGGAACATTATGCTGAGAATTATAGTAGCAGAGAAACAAGTGGTGCCCTGAAGTCCAAGATATAACTCCTGAGTAATACCTTGTAACTGGGAGCAGAAATGGCTTTTCAGCTTCTGACTCACAGCTGAGCTTGCAGAGCTGATCATTTCAGCAGAAGGCGTTATTCCCTCATCACCCATCTGTGTTTACACAGCAATTACTAATATTTTGCTTGGTCTTGTGTACAGAGTGCGTGGGCCAGTGAGACTGCAGAGTTATGTTCTTAGTTGCCATTATCTTAGCTAATGAACAACCTTTAAATGTATTTTTACAGTTATTAGCTTTTAATGAAAGGTATGGTACTGGCCTCTCTTTCTTGCAACATCTGGAGTTTTGAACTAACAAGATAAATTATTAGGCTAAGCATCTTCTGTGTGTTAATAGGTAATTTTTATGGGAGCATCACCCTCACTTTGTTCTTGTATCATCAGTCTGGATTTGCCAGCAAACTGTGGCCATTTAGAAACACTCCAGGGATGCTGATTATGCAACTGCTATGTGGACGACTCCTTTTGCCCTCACTATCTGACAGTGGTCTGGAGAAGCCTTTTCACTGCTTTACTGGGCCTCTTGCTCTCTTCCCTCACTGGATTGCAAATTGATTTTCCTGAAGTGGAAAACTGTATTTCACTTCGCCTTGATCTTGTGTGCTTTACTTGTTAAGTAAAGTGACCCTCAACTTCCTTTGTAATGAAAGTCTGAAAATGTGGTATTTGCAAAGTGAGCTTTAGCCACGTGAATCTAAACTTCTGAGGCTTCTTGTTTTGCCAGTGAAAACAGACTCCCCCCTCAAGAGTCCACTATGATGTATAATTTAGTTCACTGTTCTGTTTTTGCTCCTGGTTAAGCATTTGCTCCAAGAGCCTAGGGAATCCAGCCAGCGAGGACTTCAGTAGGATTAAACTTTTTATTTTACAAACCTGTTTCTCTGTGACAGTTTCTCAGAGTGTTTAAGAAATCAGTCCCTGGTGAGAGGGTTTCCAGTGTGATCGAGTTAAGGTGCATGTGCCCTACATACATTATTGGAGACTCTTGTCTGTCAGCCAGATTCACACATGGACTTCACCTGGAAAAGGCTGCTACTAGAAAACTCCTTTTCACAATTGTAAAACTACCAGTACAGAACAGTTCTATTGTGGCAAACTCGATAGAGGAGCTGTGAAGCCAATTTCAAATATTGCTTTGCCGCCCATTTTCCTATTTCTTTGCTTCCCAGTTTACTTTAACAACATTTATGTGTAACAATCACAGTAATACAATCTGTGCATGAACGCAGATACAAAAGCAGCAGAGGTTGCTACTCCTCGTTGGCATGTCTGAGTCTCTTAGGTGGTAGGATTTTTGCTATTCAAAAATTCTTACCCACAGGTCTTCATATATCTTAACCATATTCAGGACTTCACAACCAGGCATTAGGTTAAATAGTCTGACTGATATTTGCAATGTCATGCAATATGTTTGAAATTCACTCTTGCAGGCTGCACAGACTAGGCATATCTTCACTTTCTAGTACGTCCTATTTTAAGCACTTAAGAGGAAATTAGATGCTAGACCAACCCAATATGGAAGGTGAAGTTCGGTGAGTTGAAACAGCAACCAATGGGGTCAGTGTGCATTCAGGTAATAAAAACTGAAATTATCTTGGGTTGTAAGTGAATGTAATATTCTGCAGCCTGTGAAACAACACACATACATTAATCCAACAGTGAGTATGAGCTGGCTGCACACATGTATCTGGTTTGTTAAACTGAGTTTGTTAAACTGAGAGATGGAATTGAACCCAAAAAGGAAGGGAGGGCATGATGCACGTTCCTCTGCTCTCTCAAACCATAGTTCAGAGCCAATTCAAACACAAATTGATAAAGCTAGATTTGTCAGAAAATGAGGAGAGCACAGGGTGACCGAAGCTAAGGCCAGAACATGAACTGATTAAAAAATATGGCTAAACTGTTTATGAGAAGTGTGATTAAATACGGAGTTCTTTATTGCAAGAGGACAAAAATGTGAATAGCAAAATAAAGATGAAAATAATCTTTTTGGGGTGTGGAGAGGTACTGCTTTTGCCAAGCATGTTTTTTAATTGTGAAATGCTAATGCTTCTCTTTTCTCTAGGAGAGGGATTGAAGTGTTCAGGGTAATACTCCAGGGTATGGTGAAGAATGAGCCAAGAGGATTATGAAGCAGACAAAATGTGATTCACCAAAAGGAGGACATATTTCTTTCAGGGTGTCATCACAAGAATCTTGTGTAACTTCTGAGAAATTCCTGACCTAGATTTTTCCTGTCTTGGGTGTTTTTATTTTTGTTGTTAAAGTACTGTTTGGATAACAGTGAAAGTTTTGTGCAACCAGGGTTGAGGGGATAAAAAAACTCCCTGAATAAAGGGAGGAAAGTTTTGGGAAAATCCTTGTGAGCTGTGGGATTGAGAACCTCAGAGATCCTCTTGCATCTAAGGAGAAGAGTAGGGAGTCATGGGAAGGAAGGGGCATACATGACTTTCATCACATTTTGCACCCCAGGCCTGGCATGGTTGAAGGGTAGTTCTAATACTGGGCTCTCAGTAAGTTGTAGTAACTCCGAGGTATTGTGATTTGCTGTAGCAATGCAGTGGAGCACAAAGGGGTTCTCTGAGTGCCCTGTTCTGTTCTACCTGAGAAATCAAAACAGTTTTAAGCCTTCTGGGGGCTTCTTGAGGCTGTGAACAGAAAACGTCCTTTGAGCCCTAAGGACATGCTGTTCAGTACCCCTGCAGGAAAGGAAGGTACAGGCATTCTCTGCATCTTTCTCTTCTTCAGACTTAGTGTCATCAATCTCAAATTACTCAGTTTTTGCACCCTTCTGTATCTCAGGCACTGGAATGCAGCATAAACCCCTTGGTATTATGCTACCTTTAATTAAATACAATGGAACAAAATGTTGTTAATGATAAGCAGACATGTGAGGTTTTGATTAGACACATGTCCAGTTGATCACTGAAAGAGATAAGAACTTGCAATGATATTTCCTTTAATTTATTAGATCTATCAGAGTAAAAATAACATCTAAGATAAGATAATGGCACTATAAATTTTGCTTCTTCATTTACAAAATGATTTATGATTATTTTATTTGCCCAAACAATATCTATTAAAAGTTAAGATTCTCATTCTTCATCATTTCTCTAAATTCTAAATCTAAACAGGACTTCTAGACATGAAACACAGCAATTTACATATAAAATAATACCTCTTTTTGGAGCTGTCTCACCTTAAGCAAGTACAATTCTTGACTGAAAATTTTAAATTTTCTTTAGTCACAGCTTAAATGAATGTGTCTTAGTTATTTGAACTAACCTGTAAAGCTGCACTTTTGAACCTGACCCAGAGCCTGTGGAAGTCAGCTTTTCTGTTTAATTCACCGACGCTGGAGTGCATAAGGCCCTTTCTGTTTAATTATCCCAACTACAGGCCATGCTGATTGGGTGATACTCTGATCTCATTCTCCAAAAGGACTTTCGGCAAGAAGTCTTCCCTTCTTAAAATCGGATACTGCACAAGTTAAACACCTCTAGGATCCTGCTGTCTTTCTGTTGGGATCACCAGTAGGGGAAATAATTTCCCTTAATTAAGATGTGAAAAACACTCATAAGGTCACCTTGTCATAGGGGGGAGATTTGTGGTTGCTTTGTAGTGGAAAATAATGGAGCTCCCTCTGGGATCAATGTGACCAATTTAAAATGTAGGATAAAGGGATGTTGGAAAGACTAATATACAAAGCGAAATCAAATGCTTGAAGAGGAATATATGACCTGCATTCCTGAGCTATTTATTTTTTATGCTCTATGATAATAGCAGAATTATCTTCTATGGCAGAAAAGGGGAGTTTTAAATCATAAAAATTATAGCACTTCGGTATGGGGGATTCATTAAATGTTACTGTGTATTAGACTAGAACACTGTAAAATACAGTTTTAATTTAATAAAAGAATGCTAAAACCTAGCAAAAAACACAGGTTCTTTCTTATTGGTAAGGATTTTTTTAGTAATGAGCTTTCAGTGTAAACTTTTTCCATTTAATACTGTGAGAAATGCACTGTATTTTTAGTTATTTTTTATCACATTTGCTCTTGATTCAACAATTGGGATGTCACACAAGTTTTTAACAAATGGGAACTTTGTGATCTTGACAACAAAGCAGGGTTTAGTTCTGTTTTATTACTTGAGACTAAACTGCAATGTGTGAAATATGAAGCTTTTGTAAAAACTGAAGACAAGAAATTGCTATAGTTTCCTGGAATAAATCCGATTACAAAATTCCTGGAATATAAAATAAGAAAACAAAATCTTCATTTTCTCTTTTAGGCTGTAAAAAATCTAACAAGAAACCTCACTCTTGGCCCCAGTTTTTATTTGTGCTTCAGAACCGAGGCATCTATTTGGGAGCAGTCATAAATCTGTCAAACCTGCACAGCAAAGCAACATACAGTGTTGTTGCCTTGGACTTTTGGCATCATCCCGGAAAGAGGGGGAATCAAAACGTGTTTGTTTTGTCTTGCTGTGTTGTTTTCCCTGCCAACAGCTTCTAATTGCTAATATGCCAGAGAAGTGAAGTAATTCAATTATTCATGAATGTTTATTCTTGGCCTATAAAATGTTTACAGCTTTTATACACATTTGATAGTTCTAACCCCTCTATCTGTTTTTGAGGATAAAGAAAATATATATTCCAGACTTTTGTTATCTTACTTAAATGGCATTTGGGTGTGGCCTTTCTCTAGGATCAATTAAAGAGGCATTGCCCTTTAAAAAAACTGCATTCATCCTCTCCTCTTCCAAATAAAAGGTGTGTCTAAATCCAGGCCTCTTGAAAAAGGCCTCAGAACTGAAACATTTTACCTGTTTTGTATCTAACTGTTTTCAATTATATTTTTGACAACATCTGCCTCATTGTCCTGAACCTGTACCAACAGTTTAAGCATTTTACTTCAGTGAGAGCTCAGGTTCAGCAGGAAGACAGAGATCCTTGCCTGCTGTTGATGGTAACAGTTGTTCCATTTCGTAGTTATTACAATCTATCAAGCTGTTACCTTGGCTTACAGGGCATAATGTTTCTATGTCATATATTAAACTTACATACACAGCAAACCCTGGAGTCAGGAAGAAGCAGAGCTGCACAGCAGAGTGGATTTCTGTATAGCGTGACTGGAAGACAAAACTGACCTTGTGGAAAATTCATTGTGTATGTGGGAATTAAATAAGGCCCTTAAATTTATCCTGTGCCATCATGGTTTCCCTTATTCTTGCTGAGAAAGGCTAAAACATTTTCAAAAACTGGCAGTACAGATTCTTTCCAGATATTAAAGAAACTGCGTGAAGTTAAATGGACCTCAAATAGCGAGTGGTGATTTTTACTTATTCTTTTCATTAAGTCAGAATGACAAAGAGACTTACCAGTTCCTGGTAATCCGATGGCAGTGTGTAAGTATATGAATAAGGAAACAGTAGCAGCTGGGAATAGGAGTGAATCGTCAAATATGCCTTGATTGTAGAAAGATGTTCACGAATAAAATCAGCCAAAGCCTTGGTCTCCTTTTCAGACTCAGGTGCAGAGCCACAGTAAGTGGCAGAACAAGGATTTTTTGAGGCCCCGGTAGCTGAGAAGAAAGGTGACTTTAATGAGTATTTAATGAACAAGTTGCTTGTTAGAAGAGTCATGTTACACCACTTTAGTAGATAAGCCTTGGAAATCCATCTAACACACGTGTCATATCAGAGGAGGGAATATTTCATGGGATAGTTAAGACACTGGAAAACATGTCATATCATTGAATAAATATTCCCTGTGGAGTGTACGTAGTTGGAAGAGCATGAGTATTGATGTAAAGCCCTGTGCTATGGAAGTGATTTGGGATATTGATTTGCTTCAGTACTTGACAGTCCTCTCCTTGCGTATCGCCTCCATTTCTAAGGCACTTTCAAGAAACAGACAAGTGGAAACCAGTCAGAAGAGACCCCTCTCCATGAAAGAAAGCTCTTCTGGTTTCTGTTCTGAACTCATAGCAATGTGTGCATGTGTGTGTGTGTACATGTATGTATGTGTATACATGTGTGTAAGTATGTATGTGTGTCCATGCATGTGTGTGTGTAGGTATGTTTATAGAAGAAACCATACTGATGATGCTAGTAGCCAAAGTCTGTTTTTTTCTGCCCAAAACTGCTCCAAAAATTGAACACAAGCTACTCCACAATGCTACACTGGTGGTCTTCACACAAGCTGGAGCTGGACCAACCATCGGGTAGGGGAAACCCATAATTAAATATATTGGCTGTTGCACTTCAGTATGAACTCTTGCAGCTCTTGTTAGAAGATACTTACTGCACCAGCCAGCATTAAAATTCCTGTTGGGATCTGTACCATAGCAATTGCTGTTGGCATTTTTAGAGCGAGTCTTTCTCCACATGCGGTCCTGAAATAGGATAATAGATGAAAACTAAGAGTAAGTTCTAACAGTTGATTTTCCAGCAACACTGAAAAAGAAAAAAAGAACGTACTTACATTCGTCCAAGTGTAAACGTAGCCATCAATGTTAACAACAGGCAAAACATAGAAGTCCAACTTGTCCAGAAGTGTGGTCATGACAGTGTCTTTTCCATAGGTCTCAATAACCTACTTGGAGAAAAGTAGAAAAAGCTGATGATGTCTTCATAAATCTGTATCTCCTGTTTATATATAAAGGCCTGGATCTGGATCAGGAATTAATAAATGTAGGCAAAGTCATCCAGGTCACTCCAGCATGTGAGATGGCACCTCTGTGTTACTACATGTACTCAGAGGATTTACACCTACTCAAAACAAACTGTTGTTAGAAAGTCATCTCATACTGGTAGATAAATTATACGGTGAAGCAATTTTGAATTTGAACAGGATAATAAATCACTGGAAAGAGATTTCCATCTACTAGCTTCTTGATTACAGATAAAGCAAAGTTCCTGTCAATATATTATCCCTACATCCTGTCACCTTAAAGGTTTGAGTTGAATTTATGTCAGAAGGAAAAATCATTATTACTATTTTTTATATCTGTTGTGCAGAGAAATTTCATCAACAATCAGAACTACAGAGAATATTTCCAAATAACATCCTAAGACACTTCCAGTCATAATACCATGGATGCATATGTTCATAGGGAGGCAGATTTTTCTTTGGACTTTTCCAAACACATACACTGAATACCAAACACAAGAACTCCTGCCATAAAACCTGTATATCCTGATTGTTCATGGTCTGGCACTCTGTGTGCTTGTTCATAGATTCATTGATGGTGCATACAGTCATCATGGAAATTTGCTCTAAGTGTGTTCTGTTTACACAGACATGAAGGACGACACAGGAAGCTATTCAGTGGAGAAAGGCATTTTTTGTCCTGTAACTAGCAAGTGGGAGGGTGGGATGTAGAATCTAGAAAAGTAGTTTCAGATCACTTGAAATTGCTTTTCCTGTGTTTTATTTTATGCTTTTTTTGGTTTGTTTTGTTGTTTGGGTGGGGGGTTTTTGAGACACGTATAGCAATCCACCTTGCTCATGTTTTTCTCTTTGTTTTTTAAATCTTTTATGTCTAGAAGCAATCCCAAGTGAACCACTGCTGATGCTCAGGGCTTTTAAAGCACTTCTGCCCATCCACGCTTGGGCCCACTGAGCACAGCTGCTGCTGGTGTCAGGTACACCCATGAATTAAGTGACCAGACAGTGAAAATGACAGCTGCAGTGACGTGAATTGCTGAGAGAGAAATGGTAGCCATACTGTCTGCAGCCTTATTAGGCTCTAATGAAATCACATTCCCATTGTCTCCACTGAAATGTCACTTTCAATTTCCACTGCTCCCTACACAAACCGCATGCCTGTCTGATAACACTGAGATTGTACTGGCCACCAATGCCTCTGCCAGCATGGCTCACTCACGTAGTTTGGCTTTCCTTCACTTGGGTTTTAAATTCCAGCTGTTGGTTCTGGTTTGTGTTTGCATGTTTGTTTGCTTTAATCTTCAAGCAGAAATTCTTTCAAAATTTGAGATTCAATCAGTAAGTTGTCCTGCTAAATTGATTGATCTCCCCCAGCTGAGGCGTAATATACCTCTTCTCTGTGAAGACGAGTGTGTAGTATATAACTCACACCTGCTTTATATTGGTGGTGAGGACCTGAAGTATCTAGTGTCCCAGACTGAAGTGAAGATAATTTTACCTGTGCAGCACTTTCCTGAGTATGGTTTCATATTTTAGAAACCATTCTGCACAGCTTGAAGTGGCAGCTCAAAGGGATGTATATGCATTTCCCTCTTCCTGGAGTTTAGGGAGCTTTGTATACACTCTTCTTCCTCTCTTGGGTACATTTCCTCAGTGCACCCTGTGGTGAGCTGAGGGTAGGTTTCCACCCTCTCTCCTTACTGAGTAAAGCTGGCTGTGAGGAGTACAGCACCAGATACTGTAGGAAGTCAGCTGTTCTGAAGTGCCTTCAGATGCCCTCTGATGTGCCTCTGAATTTCCTTATTTCTTTCATGACTGTGTACACAACGTGAGTATTTTTATAGTGTTAGTAGACTTGTTTGCTTTTCTCTCACCTTTCCCTGGCTATAGATGCAAAAAATAATTTACAAACTGTGTGAATAACCCTTGTAGTAGTTAGTACCTCTTACATGTTTCAGGTTGTCTGAAAGACTGAAAGACTGCTGAAAGATTACAGATTCAAGCACTAAGTGGGTTTATACACCTTAACCGTCTGAGGTCAGAGAAGGGATGTGCACACAGGTATTTGGAGGTAAAAAGGCAATCTGCAGTGGCCTCAGCTCTTGCTGCTCACATTAGATTATCTTAAACATAGTTGCATTTTGTAAAATATTTTTTCATCATTATGCTTACTGACCTCTTTCACAAACCACTGGCAGAAAGCAGGGCTGATCCACTCTCTTGCATGAAAACCACAATCCATAAAGATGGCTTTCTTATTTGGACCACTTTTTCCCATCTAGGAAAAAAAACAAACCAAAACAAAAAAAACCTGAACCTTGAGCAAAATAAGTTGTATGCAGAACAAGTCAGTCAGCTTGCTGCTTCCAGCTGTAGCTGACCATGATATTCAAGCTAAAACAATACTCTTAATAATTTCATTTTTATTAATGTAGATAACCTTCCCCCAGATTGTTTGATTATTCTGCACTGTTGATTTATTTCCTGTAGTGTTTCTAAAAGTTGATCTTATCTGTTTGAATGATATGTTATTGTAAATGCTTATGAATTTTTGGGCAGGCACTCTTTATCCTTTCACCTTTATTTAAGTAACTGTCTTACTAATTCATAAATGTTACGAAAAAAATTGTGATTTAACCCCAACTGACTAATAAGCACCACTCAGAGAAAACTTGTGGACTGAGATAAGAACAGTTTAATAATGGAAATAATAGTAATAGTAGTAGTAGTAGTAGTAGTAGTAATAATATCATAGCCATATGATCTGTCTCTTGGGTCATTTGGGGTCACCTGTCCTAGTTGTGTCCCCTGCCAGATCTTGTGCACCCCCAACCCCTTCACTGTTGAGGTGGTGTGAGAGGCAGAAAAGGCCTTGGCTCTGTGTAATCACTGCTCAAACTAAACATCTCTGAACTATCAATGCTGTTTCCGAATCAGCAGAAATCCGAAACAGCCCCGTACTAGCTACTGAGAAGAAAGATAACTCTACCCCAGTTAAAACCAACTGAAAATTATGTATAATGAAGATACAAACAAATGTGTTTCCTATTGCTAGAGACTGATATTTCTAGATCCTTTTAGAGTAAATGGTTTTACAAACAATAGATGGAGAGAACATAAAGGTAGATGACCATTCAAATAGCTCTCAGGAGTGTGATTGAATTTATAAGCCTGAACTTCTAATAATTTATTATGTGCCTTAAAAAAAAAATCATAGTAGTAGTAAACAAAATATATTAGATTTTCTGCAAAATATCTAGTATTATGTTAGCATCATCAGTGTTTTAATAGACATCATAAACTTGCACAGGTTAGTAAGGGAAAAGTCTGGCATGAAGAAATCAAAGCACTTACTTTGAGAAGGTACATTGGCCGTCCTTCATATGTTTCCCCAATTACACTACGAGAGACAAGGTCTGGGTTCTGAGCAGCAATATTAGCAGTCCAAGCAGCTATCTGTGCAATAAGGAGGTTAAATTTATTGAGTGTCTGTTCCTTAAGTCCAGACTAATTAATTTACAGACTTTAAGCTACGACAGTCCTTCTGAGCACCTAATGTGGCCTAATACTTAACAGAGTTTGTAGATTTCCTAGGACCCACTGCAAAGATGGGAAAAGTGACATGGCCAGGATTATACATCAGGAAAAATGAGCATGGCTGTAAAAAAATTGGAGGAAGCAGGGGAGAACTTATGGTGTGAGATGAAGGCCTAGAATTGGGGCAGGGAATGGAATCAAGTTGTTTGGCAGAGGGGATGGGAGAAGTAGCAAAAAGGAAAGAAGAAATTAGTCATGAAGCATCTCAGCCTGGTCATTGGATTTCTGCCAGAGGCTCCTTGCAGCACTAGGAGCAGAAACAGAGGAAATAAGTGTAGGAGGATGGGTTACACAAACTAGCTCAGTAATGAGCAATAAAGGAGAAGAGGAAGGAGAGTTTGGAGGCATTATCATGCCAACAGATGGACCAGAAGAGGAAAAGGGAAGAAGGCAGGAAGCACGTGAAAGCCACTTTGACTACAGAGGCCAAGGTACCAAGCTGACAATGAGATAAAATTCTAGACTGTACCGTGTCCCAGTTGTTGTACTTTTCATAGCTGTGGCCGGCAGCGCGAGCTTGGCTGTCAAACTGGGTGTCCAGCGCAGCCTGCAGGTTGTCAATCAGAACTCTGCAATAAGGCACCATGAAAAGTGTAAAGAGAAACATACTGTAATCTAGCAGGAAAGTAAGACATTTAAAGGTGTTCCTGGAATTAAGGCCATGTGAATTGTGAAGTGAAAGGTGAGCAGGTTGAAAGTAAGATATATTAGGTTCAAGTTTCAACCTACTTCCTGCCTCAACCTTGCCACCAGAATGATCAGGGAGCGATGGGCTTCTCCCAGTTAACACCTACCTGCTTACTCCCATACTAGCAAACCTCCAGGGTGGCAACAGTTTGGTTTAAGAAAAATGGCAATGCTAAGATAGAGTTTGTCTAGAAAATGAGCTCTGGGCTGGTCTCATGTTGCCAGATGCCTCTGCCTCAATAGGAAAAGGGCTCTCTCTTGAACTTTTGGTATTGGAGGAGAGTTAGACTGCAGCAATGTTTCAATCCCATGCAGAAACCCATGTTTTGCTTGATGAAATTCTCTATCAAACCTAGCTTCCAAAGTTTAGATGTGGTTTGACTTCTCTATTGCAGGGGCATTGTCCATCCTCTAAACTACTTTATTGAGTGTGAGGTGGGCTACTAAAGTTGAACACACCATGGCAAGAAAACCCCAGCATCGTGTCTGGATTGTTTGGATCTGCATCTGTTCACCTTTCCCTGGGGCTGACACAAAGGCACAGCTCATCACTGAGCATACTCTTGAGAACCTTTTGCTTATATTTAAACCTTGGCCATCAAAAAACGAAGTCCTCTTGTTTTTCCAGTGCCTGTCTTAACACATTTACGAATCTTACTCATACAGGATATGTCCCTGCTGATTTGTGACTTGGATAGAAGAACAGGAGGCCAGTTTGTGAGGCATCACCAGCCTTCAGAACAAACAGTGCAAATGACTACATTGACATGTCACGGCCCTGCAGCTGCGTTTCAAAAGAATTATAACATCTTGGGTTGTCACAAGGACAACCCACTCAAGTTTGTCAGGGTTGGCTTCCAGACCCTTGTGGCCTTTGTTGCAATCAAAAGATTTGTGCATGGACCTGAGGGAGTTCATTAATATTATAGGAAAGCTAACACATGTAGAGTAACTCCTCCATAGCTACAGAGGAAATTCCACAAAAATTTGATTTCTGTGCTGGATGTGCACTGTGGCATTATTGAAAATGATTTTTTCCAGAGTGGTTTTAGATTCTGTTCTCGCAGCAGCATCCAAATTAGTCATGATTAACATGAGGCCAGTAAATTTAGGATGGTTTACCTTCGGATTTAGCAGATCATAATAGTTATGTTTCATGAGAACTGTGTGGTGTCCTATGAAGGAGCAACAACAATGGGGCTGAGAGACAAAAACTCTCAGCCAAATGAAATAATAAAAATTTGATCAAATAATACTGACTTTCACTGTTTGAGTACACGATGCTGACAGGTTACCCTTTAGACATCAAAAAAGTCTGTTAATGAGGCTGGGCAGAGCCAATTTGCAATGCTCAGGTGGAGTGAAAGGAGAAATGAAGACAAACAACCCCACTCCACTCCATCTGAAAGTCAATTTCTCTTCCTCAGTTAACGCTTACATAGTCACTGGGAAAGCAGGGCCAGGCAACTGCTTATTCTCCTTATTCTTCCGTTAGTGCTGCTCACTACAATGTTTCTGTTCTCACTGATGTGTAATGTGCCAGTTTGTTCTGTTCCCTCCACTTATGCTGCAGTTGTATTTGATCAGCTCAGGGCCTTTTTTACTTCTAAGTAAAGATACAACTAAATGCTCTCTTTGGAGAGATCCTTGCTGTGGGTCTTCTGTGGGACTTGAGAAAGCCCAAGACTGTCCTGGGAATCTGTTCTCCCCACTTGCTTGGCCTTTCACCTGGCAACTGTCTTCTGCTTGTCCCCTTTTGGGTCTTTTTGGCCCTCTGCGTGTTGTTCTGCAACTTAGAGAACTCACTGGGGAGCTGCTCATGGTGGCCCTCGGGGCTCACCATTTTCTGGCTTCAGTGCCCTGTTAGTATCATTCAAATTCATCTGGTGTGCTTTCTGGCTCTTTCTAGACTTTTGCTGAATTTTGTCTTTAGTGGGAAATCTTTCTTGTCCTCTCCACACTGTACTGCAATGAGCTTTCACCTCAGGGAAATTTCTGGTAGCGCATCTTTGCTTCCTGTATCTTGCCTCTGTCAACATTTCACCTCACCCCTTCAACACAGAGTGGTTACAGTCCATTTGAGCTGTCTTAGGAAAGCTGAACTCAGTAGAGTCACCCACAGGAGGGACGAAGTTCGTGACAGGAAAATCAACTGACCAAGATGAAAAGCTCAAACACATTCTCCCCAGTGTTTAGTTCTCTTCCATTCAAAATACAGTAGTTAGAACAAACTTACTGATACTCCACTCCACTTTCCTTCAAAAGTTCTTCAACCTCAAAAGAATTCTCAGCTCCAAGTCGGAAATCAACTTGCATTTTTGGCCTTACCAGAGTGACAGAGTCTGGCTGCCAAAAGTCAACCTGAAAGAAGGGCAAATGAGTACATAAGCAAATAAATATGTACATGTGGCTGTGATTTTTAGGTTGGTGTATGTGTGATGGTGATGTCGATTGTGATTAAAAGATTGAATTTCATTCCTATTCTGTTACACTGATCAGACCTTGCTTGCCAGAAGTATCAACCTAAATTTTAACTGGAAATGTAAAAGAAATTGGGGCTGGTTAGTCATGAATTATGTGTCATCAAGTAAGGTGATTGTTCCAGAATACAGAATTACATCAGTCCTGACCGATTGCTTTGTATAACAGTGGTATTTCATGGATCTTTGCTTAAAAGAAAAAGAAAACAAACAATCCCTTTATTCTACACACTTTAAAGCAAGCATGGTATGTATTAATTTTCTTAATATTGGCAGCACCATTCCAATATCTTGTTCTTCTTCAGAATACTGTTCCAACGTGCTATACTATCCTGTTGATGATAGTTCTCCACATCTGTACTTCATTAAAAATACCATCCTTTCATCCTACAGATAATGGTGTCTTTTTCACCAACAGCTATTTTACAACATCAAAGCTGAAGAGAAATATTGAAAACACATTTTCTCTCTTTATAGTTTTTCATCATTTCACTGTGTCATCATATATCTACATCAAGGTCAGTGAGAAACATGCAACTTGGAGATAAAGGAAGCTTTCAAGGAAAGCCAGAGGAGGAAAAATGACTTGAGAGACTAGATGCCAAGGAAAACTTCGATTTGTTGGGAGTATGAATTTCTATCCTCTTTACATGAGCAAAATGTTTTGCTTGTAATGGTAAAAGTTCTGAAAGTTGGAATTTCCATGATTTATCTAATACATTCTTGAAAGCACCCCACACTGAATACAAAATTTAAGATTTATTTATTATATTGATAAGTTCTGATGGGCACTTTGATATTCAGACTGGGTTAACCAGACTTTCTAGGAAGGTATTGAAATGTATTTGTAAAGCTTTAGTTTTATCATCTTGTCCTATTCCTTCTGAAGAAACACTCAGCTGACTTGAACTGAATTAAGATTGGGTCTTTAATTCAGTAATATGAATTTTTAAAAAAAGATGAATGTTAGTTGAACAAAAGGAGAAATGTTTCTTTCAACTACAATATAACCACTTCCCCAGCTTCTTTACCTGCATGATGCTGGCAAGGGAGTTGAGGATTTCCACCTGCTCATCATTCTGTGGAATCACACGAAACACCTTCTGTCTGGAAAAGGAGAAAAAGATTGGATTTGAAACAGGTAAGTCAATTGAAAGGCTTTTGCTCATGCAAAAAACCCCATGCAAATATAAAACTTGATGTCTGTTCTTACCCATCAAAGGAAAGATCCTGCAGATGAGCAGAAACAGATGCAGCACCTATGAGAACCAAGAGCGCCCACATTTTTTTAAAGAAAAAGTAAATGTGTTTTCAGTTCTTTCAGGCTGCTTTTATAACCTGTTTTGTCCTGCCTTTTATCAATTATACACCAGAACAGCACACTGATCAACTGATAGATTATTCCCTTGGCCTTGTTTTATTTGCATACTATTTATAGTGTGTGTATTACTCTACACCTGTGAAAACAGCTGAAAGTCTCATGGGGGCCTGGCTAAAGAATCTTGCAATTTGAACTGGATAAACTCTTGATACGAGAAAGTGAATTTAATTTACGTTCTTATTTTCTGGTTTATGTGAGATTTGTCTAATTTTTTAGAATACTTTTGTTGCTGAATTAAAACCTTTATAATTTTTTTTGTTACTTTATGTAATGGTAGATGTTCATCAGGTGCTGTTGGAGCATGTCTGGTCTTAATGACAATGTCCCTCTTCCTGAATTATATGGGCTGACTTTGACAAAGGAAGAGGAAACAAACTTCTGCACATTCTCTAATTTAATCACGTGTGGATCAGAGGTAGGTATAAGTTAAGCAATCCTGTGGGCATTACATGTAGGCTAAGAATATCAAATGAAAGGTAAGTCATAAAAAAGCATTTTTAGTTTTACCTACAATGTTTTTTACCTACACTGAGAAACAATAGAGTGTTTGCATCACTGCACTTGCATCTATTTAGTTTTCATTAATTAATTTCAATAATTTCATTAATTACTTGGCATTAAATGTAACATTGATTGTCTGTTGATGCTGCATCTTGATGTGAGTGATGTTTTCGACAGGGAGCCTCTAAATGAATCAGTGTATAAATAAATAAAGAATGGAATTTATGAGCTCAGTTCTGTCTTCAGTTATGCCTAAGTGACCAGACAAATTAAAGTGGTTCAGACACAGATAATTTCTACTAATATGCTTATCAGATAATATGTGGAAATTTATTAGAAATTAATATATATTCATTTCAGATTAAAAAAATGTAGTTACAGTTTCAAAGTGCAGAAATTTGAATTGTCAATGAACACTTTAAGAATTAATGTGGCATCAGACTCTGTACCTAATTATTTATGAGGTTCTCTAGAATCAACTCAGTGAAGCAGCCTTAGATACAGAATAGCTAGAAATATATTTTTAAATCAATGTATCAAAAAGGCAGCAGTTCATGCTGAACAGTATGACTGATGATGAACATTTTCTTATAAGGAGACTCGAAAACTATGCTTAGCCTACTTATAGGGAACTATCTTTGTCAAATCATAGTGGTTTGAACTTAGTTTGCAATTAATGACCTGATTTGTAGCATTGAAGACTCTTGCCCAGCAATAATCTGACTTAGAGTCAAGTCTCCTAAGAAGGATGACATCAGGAGCTATTCTGACCAAGTGCCAAAACAATACTGCAAAATCTTCAGAAGTTTCAATTTAATGATGAGGAGATCTGCATTACCAGATGAAGTGGTCTGATCCCTTGAAGACGAGTGCTAAGACCATAATGTGGAGATGATCAAGCCCAGATCTTGCAATGAATAAAGGATCACAAGAAGTAATCAAACAAATTGCAGATGTCATTCCCTGTTGAGAAGCATTTTGGAAATAGAAGATTGCCAGATCTCAGTGCTTGAGTTTACTTTTAAGAAATTATTTGCTTTTCGTGTAGTTGGAGATGATTGTTGTTTTGTTTGTTTGTTTTATGTTTGTTTATTTTTCTCCACAATCACTGATGCAGCATCAACTACTGAGCTGGCAAGCATTACTGAATACTAGAATTTGTAATGATGGTCTTTGCTGTTTCCATCCCGGACTAGGTCAGAAAAAAACAATGATCTGGAATCCTACTTAAGTGATTTATTTTGCATCTCAGGATCGATGGTGACTTGTCAGATTAGTTCGTAAACTAGGTCTAAATTGTCTTGTCTTTGTATAATATAAATGTTTAATACTTGTATGATAAAGGGGCAGCATAAGGATAAATAAAATAGCAAATTAAATTTGCGTAAGCCATCTGTTCTTTTTAGCATCTGATTACAAGCCAACAGCACATCAGTTGGCCATGGCTGAGTAAATCTTGGCCTTATCACAGAGAGCAGACCTTGGATTACCTATATCTTTGAAAAGGTTCAGAAGGAAAAATCAATTTTTGTTTAATCAAGAAAGTAACAAAAGCAGCTGAGTCCCAAAAGGAGAATGTGTGGTAATTTCCTTTAGGACGTATTTTGTCTTAGGGTAAGCAAAACAAAAACCCAGTGTCAGCTATGGCAATTTTTTTGCAGTTTGCTTTTTAGATGATTAAAAATACAGTCTCCTATGATGTTGTCACTGACAAAGAGCATTCCCTATTAATAATTGGCTATATTCCAGCTGAAATTCACTTCTGTAGTAATTTCTTATTTCAATTTTTGGAATGGAAATACTCTGGTACTCCACTTTGAAAAGCTTATGAAGGCTAACCAGAGAGTGATAAAAGGAAAAAATGTACATCAGTGTTAGCATTTCAGAAGCATCCTTTATCCTAAGAAGTCTTTCATCCCATTTGTTATCAAACTGAGTCCAAAAGTCCAAGGATAAATAATGTCTTTCTAGGAGTTTCAGTAGATGCAGATTTCCTGAATCATATAGTTTGTTGATCTACATTTTAAAAAGTCCACAATCTTGCAGTCACAGAATATTGTCAGTTCTTATAATCCCTGATTGACAAATTTATATTCTTAATATTATTTGATATATATTATGTTCCAAAAGATCAACAATGCCTAAATCCTAACATGGACTGCAGTCCAGGCACATGTGTTTGATATATGGGGATCCTCTTATGATCATTTATTTCTTAAGGTAATATACGCTAACCTTAGTTTTGAAGACTAATACTATTGAATATATTCTGAAGAACTTTGAGAGTACTTTGAAGAGGCCAGGACAAGCAGAATCTGCTATCCAGCATGTGCTCCAAGCTTTCTTGGTACTTTCTCTTGATTTATATATTATTAATATTGCGTCTTTTAATTCATCAAAGGCTTTTTCAACTGTAGGGCCCTGGGACATGCTCATATCCTACTGTTTTGGTAACTGTGTGTGGGTATCTTCTTTTTTTTATTATTTTTTCACACTTGCAGATGCTACTTAACATGTAAGCAGGTAACAGATAAGGAGAGAAAAAAATGGAAGTAATGAGATCTAGGATATGGAGCAGAAAAAAAGGCAGCTCTCATGACTTTGGGATGTGTTTGTACCACTGCTATTGACTCATCAGGTGAGAAACAGCAAAAGCTGTAACTGTTCTTTTGTAGAGCCAGTGGGTTCTTGCCAATGTATCTCCTGTGACATAGATACCATATTTTTACCATTGACCTATAGTAGTCAGATTAAGACTGTAGTATTGCAGCTTCATTATACAATCTTATTTAGGATTTCAAAAGTATTTTATTACCGTAGCTAGAAGCTGAATATATCATATACATTCAAATTCTTATTTGTTTGAAAAAAGTGTGAAATATACTAATATAGAAGAGGGGGAAAAAGTATTTGCAGTTCCAGAATTCCCAGAAACCAAGAATCAAGAATCTGTTTAGTGCCAAACAGACAAAAGATATTTAATGAAACAGTGAGAAGGACTGACCTCACACCCACTGGTTATGGAAATCTTCTGCTTAATTAGCTTTTCCTTAGGCTGAGCTTTCTATCATGTACAAGACTGGCTGGTTCTCATACTCAGGCCTATTCCATGGCCTCTGTAAGGTTGGCAGAGTCATGGCAGGACTCAGCCACAGCTCAAAGATACACAAAAGCATAAGGTCCTTTCCCTTACAATTTTTAAGGTGCTGAGATCAGCATGTGGGAGATTATGACTACAGCAAAAAAAGTCATAATCTAAAAAAGTACATAAGTAACTGGACACTCAGTGCTCTGATTAATAGAAGCCAGTTGAAACTTTCAACTCACATATTTGTGCAGTATCTGTCTGATGGGTCTAGGAGTTTCTCTTCTGGTGTGGATCAACACATCGTTAACACTTATATAATATCTCCAACAATGCCAGAACCAGATGCTGGTGAGATGGTGCTAGAATTATTCTGTAACAAGATACAGGAGTATCTGCCCACTGCTGAGGCCTCTTCAGGGTTTCTAATTTGGATGGTTAGCATGTTGTCTTTCTCAGTATTCCCCTAGTTTCCATTCTGGGCTCTGCAGGGGCTGAAGGTAAATCAGGCTGTCAGTGTGCTCTCATCCACTTCCAGTTTTAACAGAAGGATTTAGATTGACAGATGAATCTCCATTTCATCCCACTAAATATGATCCAGATAGTGATGCTATATTGGTGTTAACAGAGCACAGCAGGATCACCACCAGTGGGAGTGAAGACAGATGACAGATTATGGGAGAGTCCAAGACACTTTAAAAAAAACATCAACAAGGAAGGTTCAAGGAAGAGAGTGGATTGAGCAGCTTGATTCCACCCTTAGGCCAAACTGAAATTCATTTTAAAGATTGCTGGATAATTTACTGTTCTGTTTGGCTTTTTATATGTGATGGCCTTCATGGGTGATATAAATCATGAACATTCTTGCCCTGTATGGCTTGTTTTTCATCTGCAGACTTGATGAACTCTGAGCTTAGGGCTTGGATAGTTGCCTTCAACTCTGAACGATTTTAAAATCCAATGCCCTTTGCTGAGAGATAGGTTGTATCAACAGCAGTTACACCTGGACAAAGGTCAGGGAGTCCTACCATTTCAGAAAACCAAGACCATTTAGAAACTAATAAAGTTTCTCTAATAAAGTTTACATCTAAGTACCCCAAATTCATAAGCTGTAGAAGATGGATAAGCTCCCCTGTAACCAAATAAAACTTTGGCTATTTCTCTGGCTTCTTCTGTAACAAAACATATACACTAAAAGATCATTAAAATTAGTTCTTTTCTTATTTTCTAAAGGAGTTTGGAATTAGATGTCATATTTCATATTGCAAAAATGAAACAAACAAACAAACAACACAACACAACAAACCAAAAGAAGCA